TGGACCAGTACAGTTGACGAAGGGGATGCGTTGGATGTGGTTTACCTAAACTTCGCGAAAGAATTTGATCGAGTGAATCACAAAATTTTACTGCAGAAGCTCTATAATTACGGCGTTCGAGATTTCGCATTTGAGTGGATCAAAACATTCCTCGATCAACGAACCATGTCATTTCGTGTTTCTGATTATGTATTCGAACCTATCAAAGCCACCCGCGGTGTTTCACAAGGGTCCGTACTCGGTCCCCGTCTGTTCCTCGTCTTCATAAATGATATACCGAAAGTGTTAAGCTAAAAAACAATACTGTTTGCAGATGGCGCCAAAATCTGGAACACGGTTACAGAACCAGAGGGCTCTCAAACACTTCAGAAATCACTCAACGCAGCTTACCAATGGTCTAAGGAGAACGACATGGAATTTAATGTTTCTAAATGCAAAGTCTTATCCCTACGCCACAAGCGGAAATTCTTGTATTTCCTCGGGGACCAGCAGCTACCACATACTTCTAGCGAAAAGGACTTAGGTATTGTTGTTCAGGAGGATTTAAGCTGCTCCAACAACNGCTGGCATGAAGAATGTCGGTTTACTTCGGCGAGTCTTTGGCCGGTTTGAATCATCACTATTCCCGCGTTTGCTATCAGCGTACATTCGACCCTATACGGAGTTCGCCATCCAAGCTTGGAGTCCATGGATTCAACGTGATCGCAAGATGCTTGAGCGTCCACAAAGGATGGCCACCAAGATGGTCAAGGGATTCCATTACCTGACATACGAGGAGAGATTGCAATCATCGGGCCTTTATTCTGCTCAGTACCGCCGAACTCGAGGAGACTTGATTTTGACGTATCAAATAGTGAAGAACCCAAACCATCCGTGTCGATCGCTTTTCATGGTATCGAACAATGTACACCTAAGGGGACACCGTTTCAAACTACTGATTCCAAAGTCTCGACTAGTTTACCGGCGCCAGTCTTTTGCAGTCAGAGTATGCAGATCTTGGAACGCCCTTCCATCTCATGTCGTGTGTGCACTCACTATTGAGTCTTTCAAGCAGAGACACGACGAAAACTTGGCACACCTCACATTTGTACACTAAAGCAAACGGAAATTCACTGTAGCCTACATTCTCTATTATCTCCTATCCGGAACTCTATGTGACTCCATCTTCAAGGTGTAACGATTCATTTGTGTAAATATCCTATGGGACAAGAGAAGCACGAGCTTGTAAGTTATTCCCATAATAAAACTTTGACTTTAACTTTGACATGATTAAACCTCCTGGTTTGACAAAAGCCATCCAGTGTAGCTCTCTTTGGTTCAGAGAGGTGCACAAGGCATCACATCTCGTCAGGGTGAGGTGTAGTCATGAAGGCTGCATTTTGTTATAACCAAATGAAAGAATTTCATTTAACTGCACAATAAACTCGGCTATTCAAATAGAATAATCAGGAAATTCACCATTATTTTGCAACAATTTTATCCTTACTAAAAATTGTCGAGTCCGTTTTGTCCATTCCCGGTTTGTTTTCTGTGTTCGATCTTGGACTGGTTATTGTCACCTCGTCCGGCGGTTGTGGCAGATCACTGGCCCAACTGGCATCTGTTTCATCTGGGTCTACCGTTGGTGGTGGGCGAAACTGCGGACTTGGGGGCCATCTGTCTGTGAAATTTTTGCCAATAGGAATCTGACGCATTGTCCCCGGTGGAGTATGTTTTTCCGACCGTATACCTGCAACCGGTCTCGCTGGAATCGATTCGTTCCGGCGTGCGTCTGGAGCAGGTTTTGAAGTGTCCCGCATAGCCTCGTTATTCTGTTCGTTTAATAAGGTTAACTGCGTAGTAAGCCTGTTTATTTGTTCCAACTCGTTGCTAAGTGATGGAGAAGGTCCACTGGGTTTCTCAGCGGTCCCGTCTAAAAGAAAATGTGCAATAAAATCCGACAGAAGCGAAACAAACACAATAGCATAAGAAAAATGATTATAGTACTACTTGATACTGAACGATCGCAGAACAGCATATCCTGATCAAGACCACAATATGCTACAAACAAAGAACTCCTGGTCGAGACAATTCAAATCGTGTGAGATCCTAGACAGAGACTCAAATCTCGGGAGTTCTTTGTCACAATTTGACAGTTGCTTCGATCCATATGGATTAAGATAATCGGATGAACCGTCTCTGTAGGCAGCTGACAGTTGGTCTCGTTATTCGCAACGTTCTTTATGCTACTGGAACAAAATTTGCAAATTTATTCCTCGTATCAAGTAGTTCTGAGCATAAAGATGAACTATCTCAAGAAAAAATTAATGTCTCCTGCAATCGCGTTTTACCTCCAAGACCACTAGGGACCACTAGGGACGTCGTTCTAATCGACGAGAAAGCCATAATCGAGGTTAAAAAGAAACAATATGAGTAAACCGGAGTAATTTTTATCACATTAAAACAGGATAGTCCATAAATAAAATCAATAACATCCCTTAGAATTAAAGAATACAAAACCGGGTGATTTAGATTAAAAAAGTAAGACAAATAGAAAAGTTCAGATCACAAAGCCGTAGAAAACATGGAGAAAAGGAGGTTAGGGGGGCAGGGACTTTACCAAGGAAACGAGTGAATTGCTGACGATTTGTCAGATAGGATGAATGATGATGAAAAGACCGACATCTGCCTTGGCTCGGAGTGACAAAAGTTGATCTGCTCTGAAAGCATCGCTTCAGCCATCAAACTGAATTCGAATTCGAATTTAAAGAGGATAGCAAGGCAGATATCGTGGACGTTTGGAGAATAGTAGGGAAGGATGGTACCGGGTCGAAAGTTCTCGAAAGCAAATAGATCCACAGCTTGTGGTTTGGTAAATGGCTTGGTAAAAAGAAACAATGAACGGGGATGACACGCGTCTTACGGGCGAGATGAAGTTTTGTCTCACTTCCTTTGAACATGAAGATTCTAATTTTACATTTTTCATGTAGATAGATACAACTGAGGAAAAAAGCATAACCGGTATGGTTTGAAAACGTCAATATGCGAATTTATTGAGGTCAACATATGTACCATTGGAGGTTCTGCATGGAAACAGATTTCCGAACACGTTTGGCCAGGATGAAGTAAATGCTATGCGGTGGAATTCGAGCGTACACTTTTTGACACTTGATGTGATACTACAACCGGGTAACAATCAACAGTTATTTTGCCATTCAGGTTGATAATGAAAATGAATGACCAAAGGGACTGAGTAATCCGGATCAGTTTCTTTCAGTTAGAAAATGGTTTTATTTAGATTTCTTAAATGAGAGGGGAGTGGAGGATTGCACTTGATGGCCGTATAGATGAGCTGTGAGCTGAAAAGTTGTGAAGCACTGAAGCACTGGATAGCTGATTCGATTTGTTTGCGTCTCTTGAACATTTCGAATCCATCTACCCAATTGGAGATCGAACCCGGGACCACACATGCAGAACTTAAGCGGACTACCCACTCGACCCCCTACACAAACATGCCATATAAATCACTGGAAAGCAATTGTGCATCTTTCGACTGGTGTTCTAATGTTAGATTCGGATTATTCTGGAATTTAAACACCGTTACGTATTGCTTCCTTACAGTGCATTAGGCGCCATTTGTTACACATCGGTCACACGATTGTTTAAAATCAATTTTCTCAATCAGTCGATTGCACAATAAGACCTTTAGAAGTACAAAAACGATTCCTGGGATTTTAGGCACTTTTCGTTAGGTTTACGGTTCACCAGCTTCTTGTGTAGCTCTTAGATTCTTTGAAATCTGAACTGACAAATAAGTGGAACGGAGGGGGGGGCCATATGGTAAGACGCGAAAAACCCCACGGAGTGGCCTGATCATCTGGACCAGCAAGCCTCCTGTTTGTGTGTGTGCGTGTGTGTGTGTGTGTGTGTGAACGAATCAAAAACTCCGGACAACAAACGTCAAACCACGTGCACCTCAACCCACAGCAGCTGAACCCGAATGCATCTATTTTTCGTCCACTCAAATGAAAGTATGGAATCATACTTCCTATCAGTTGACCGTCGTGAAACTTTGCATGTCAATTGTATTCAGCTGCAGGGACAGCTGGTGTGTCTCAAAACATCAAAGGGTTCCGGTCCAAAAGGACCATGTTCTGTCGTCCTCATGGAATGCGTGAGTGTTATCTGGCTCAGCCCCTTACCCGTGTTTTCAACCGTCGCTTCGAGGAACAAAACTTGTCGACTGGTGAGGACTCGCAGGCATCATACCAGCCCCATAAGAGGTAGCTGGTAAATTTCGACCAGCAGCCTGCTTTTCTGTTTGATTAAACGCTTTTGAAAAGTGTATGCTTTATAAAATTATTCCAACACTGTGCAGTCAAATCACAGACAATTTACTTATCGCAAACAACGTTCGATCTTGGACACTTGCTCACTTGGTAAATTCGGTTTTTCCGTGCACCTTCAGGCATCACACAGTATTTTTGGGTGTATTTCTTCGACCATAATGATGCTTTTAACTGTGTCGACAGGGACAAGCTTTTGTCTCTACTCCGAGGTGCTGGATTGTTCCATACTACCCTGTCTCTACTCCAAGATTATTTTACTGATAGAGCACACTTTACTGAGTTTCTTAGAAAACCTCTGACCCCCTACCGGTCAATTCAGGGGTGCTCCAGAGAGTAATTCTGTCCCCTTTTATTTTCTCTTTCAATATTCGAGATGATCTGCTCATTACATAAGCTGATGATTGAGTTGGGGCCTCAGTCGATAAAACGTGGTGGAGGAGTAATTGATCCAAGAAAATGGGCCTCCACTTCGCTTCATCCGCTGCCTTGCGGCTAAGTTCTCGCCAAAGCTAAAGGCTTTGGTTGACAACCCTAATCGTTCTCCTACTTAGTGGCTGGACCCCCTAGCAGTACACGTCCATAAAACCACAACGCATATGCAGTGATCCGTGAGTTTCGCTTCTCTGTATTTCACTGTACTATAATGATGATGCTGATCATGATGATCATGATGATGTTGTTGTTGTTATCCCGTATCCTTCGGGATTTCTGGCACAGGAAACATCCACCACGGAAGACCTTTAAAAATCAAAGGTGGATGATTTCCGTTTTCCAATTCGTAAGCCACCTAAATTAGGGTGCCATATTTTGCCTCCTATCTACCTCCCTGTGCGACGATATTATGAGTCTGATGTGCTGGGGGCTGAAAATCCATCCATTAGCATTTTAACTTCTCTAGAACAGGTTTTGAATCTTTCAGTATTTACACTTTGACTGTTGTGGATATTTAAGTAGTCTGATCAAAAATGACAATATCTATTGGCTTCACTGCACCCCATATTTAATGCAGAATGATAGTATCCCAGCGCTGAACGGTTATTTAATCATTGACTGTTTACTACAATTCTGTTCGCACATCATTCTTTGTCGC